TCCCCCTCTGCTCCAGCATCACCTCTCATCTCTGTACGTGTTCTGTGTATCACTACTTATCTCTGACCGACAACTGTCTCTGTAGCTCATGACAGAAGTGTCCCGTCTTCAAGCTCCAATATTGGTTCTGATCCTTGTTCAAGGTGCTGTTTGTCGGCTGGATCCATACACACACGTGGCATCGAGCAAATTTGTGCAAATTTACTTGAACTTTCTAGTACGGATTCAGACGCGTGACCTCTGACGTGTAAGATTTACTTTCATTCATCAAGATTTACTTATGAACATGGATTGAAACCAGTTGAACCACTGCAAACCAGTGACTTTGATGGAGCGGGGCTGTCGACATGCACAGAGCGACTTGATCGGATTTCAGCAGAGCAGCATTCACATGGATGGAGAGAAAAGAAATACAAAATGACAATGGTCTCAGTTTAGAGGATGGATTAGCATATACCTCATTCCCAGTCCAGCAGAGCTGGAACTTAAAATGCTATTGTATTGACAGAACAGTTATAAACAGCATTATGTACTCAGTTTAAGGACAAACTCACCTATGTTGTAGCTTTCACCTGATCGAGCCGATTGCTTATAGTTTGCTCATAACTGTGTGTTTAAAAAAAAGAGCTGTGAGATATAAAATCTTGTATGTTTTATTTTCTTGGGACCATGTTTCACTTTAGACCTTGTACAGATTTATGGTTTGGTTTGACTTATTTATTCCATCAGTAGTGCTTGGTTTTTATCATGTCCAATGGTTTTGTTTTCTTAATAAAATTCACAAAACTTCTTGGTGTCTTGACACGTATTTTACACACAGTATCTCCTGAACTGGCCTTTTGGTCCAAGTACGTTTGTGTCTTTCAGTACGTTATTTCACAGAACCTGTCCTCATAAAGAAAGATGGCCAGATAATCCAGACTTGATCCTGGACAACAGGAAAATCAGGTCAAGCTAGTTTTCAGGGTCGGGTTCCCATCAGGCTTAGCCAGTGTGTGAGGGACACACACTATTGAAAAACAGCGAGTTCAACAAGTTACTCCTAATGAAACCGGGCCCTAAGAGAAAGCCGAGCCTAGTGACTGAACTGTACTGGCTGAAGAGCGGATAAAACAATAAATAGCTAAAAGTTGGAGCTTTAATTTAACACTTCACAGTTTTCTGGCAACTCAAAAGTGAACAATCCAAGTTAAACTTGCAAAATAAGCAAATACTTTGATAACTGGAAATAAAATATTATTGCAAGGATGGCGATATAAAATTAACATGCTTCACCGAGAATGTGTCAAAAGCAGGAGGATAAATATTTCTTCAATTAAACCATAGAAGAGTAATTAACTGACTTAATACAGAAGTATAGAGGTATACTTAATAGTTCTAACTCGTGTAGAAGCCTGAGACAGTCTGTCAGACTGAAACTACGATTTGCTCCTCTGTACTAATCAACTATAGATGCATTTACAGCACAACAAATGTATCTGGACCCGGGCTTCACTTAGAATCTGAGCTCACTCCATTTTCCAGTTTCTACTATCTAGTTCAGAGCCCTTCACGTCGGACACACGTTGTGTTGCCGACTTGACTTTAAACAGATAAAAATCACCATTTGTACTCATCACTACAATCAGTAACCCAGTTTTTAGACATTTGGCAGCAGTTACAGCTTCAGGCTCTACCAACTCTACACACCTGGATTTGGCCAGTTGATCCCGTTGGTCCTGCAGATCCTCTCCAGCTCCGTCAGACTGGATGGGAAGTGTCTGTGAGCTCTTCAGGTTTCTCCACAGATGGTCTGTGGGGGTTAAGTCTGGACATCAGCTGGGCCCCCCCAGAAAGCCGCTCCAGTGTCTTGGCTGTTTGCCTCAGGTCGCTGTCGGCCCAGTCTCAGGTTTTCTTCCAGGACCTCTCTGTGCCTGGCTGCGTTCATCCTTCCCTCAGTTCTGACTGGTCTCTCCTTGGTCTCCTCCCTGACCGAGGCCCTTCTTGTTTCTCAGTCTGGTTGGAGGCCGACTCTAGAAGGGCCCTGCTGGTTCTAGACTTCATCCATGTCCCAGTTACTGAGGCCACCGTGCTCCTGGGGACGCTCAGAGCTTCAGACGTGGTTTGATCCCCTGGTCCTGATCCAGGCCTCACTAGTCTGACCACAGCTCCTGGACCTCATGTTCTGACCTGCAGTGTGAACTACACAGGTGTGTGTCTTTCTATGCTGGGTCCAGTTTGCCCAGTTTGCCACAGGTGGACTCCAGTCAGGGTCTGGAGGCTCAGTGTGGAGCCACAGCAGAGGCTCTGGAGACTTTTGGAAGGGAGAGAGCTCAGTTTTTGAATTTTATTACATTTGCAGAAATGTCTAAAAACCTGTTTTGCCTGTCAATAAGTGAAATGGCAAATGTGCACAAAGTGAAGGTGCTGAATCGTTTCTGAAGCTGCTTTTAAATGCACTGGAATCACAATGAAGCTAATAAACAATGCTGAGCCACAGCTGCAGCCTCAGCTAAGTACTAATTATCTGATTTTCTTGCTATTTCACAGTCAACGTTGCATCTTGTTCATGAATTTTCAGCACTATTAAAGAAAAGTCTGACATTTCTGTCTTTGCATTTCAGTTTCCTCTGTTGTGAACTGATGTGATCTGAGTTTGATGTCTCAGGCCTCTGGTTTAAGTCACCACAGAGTGGTTTTTAAAGCTGGTTTGATCAAGGAGATTCATTCTGCTTCAGCTTTCACAATGAGCCATGGAGCTTGTGAGAAATGGAGTGGGCTGAACCTCTCAGGAGTAAATTCATCTGGGGACCAGACTATAATCAGCAGAGCAGCAGCTAATCCATGTTGTCCTGTGAGTGGGACAGTGGGAGCTTGTGGGTCTGCCTGCTAGTCACTGCTCGTGCTAAAAACAAGGACACACTCTGAGTCAGAAGCTTTTCTTAGTATTTCTATGGGACTGTTCAGGAGTACACCGTACATAGAAAACTGACATTTTACACCACGACGACATCTATAAAATGGCTTCAACATTTCAAAACCATTCCTAGATGGTGCCTGAAACTGTTACATATAAAACGTTACACTATTACTTAGACACGTCACTTAGAAAGTACACAAAGTTTATAGAAAGGGGCTTTGTTTTCCCCCTGGAAACCTCCTTACACAACATCAATCTCATCAACAGGGCAGAAAAATAAAATGTAGTACACGTAAGCTATTGTTGTGCAGTGGCACTGTGTGCACGTTTACCAGGAGGAAGCTTCTGATTAGTATTTACAAAGACTACTGTCTATAGTTACCCATGTCATGTATAACAACTGCTACACTGGAAGAGTCAATATTATCCAAACTTTGTGCTTTAGGCAGGCGTTGCCATACAGGGTTAATTTAAAGGCACAGTTCGACAAGTTGGGAAATGTGCTTGGTTCCTTTCTGGTGGAGTCAGATGAGACGTGATTTCACTGTTGGTTACTGGCACCGATTCAGCATCTCACTTCTGCAACACCAGGCATATCTTTTTTATTCCACATATCTTTTTCCTTCTTTCAAAACCTGGTGCCTACATTACCCACAATGCAACTTGACCTAAGAGGCCAACGTAACCTCCGGCAGAGATTAGCTCACTCCTGTCTAAAATGCACAGTTTTCTACTTTTCACACTTGTCTTGTTTTGTAACTTAAATTAATCAAATCCCATACAGCTCCTTCTGGAGCATCTCTCGACATATGCAGTGGTTAGTTCCCAAGACCTGTAAACAGACTGTGACGTTTGAAAACAGTGGAGTTCCCCTTTAAATGAAAGAGGTTAGCCTGTTAGCTTAGCATAGTTAGCCTAGATTAAAACATGTCTGTCAGATCTGCACAAAATCCAAAGTGTAAGAACAGCAATTCACCATTTAACTGGGGTCATGTTGAAAACAGGGACAAGCTAGCCGCTTTTCCGGTTCCAGACTACAAGCTAAGCTAAGCTAAGCTAACCAGCTGTGCAGAAATGAGAGTGGCATCAATCTTCCACTGTAACCTGTATACAGGTCTCATGTAAAGGTGGATGAGCATTTTCCCAGTGTCAAAAAGTGCACTATGAAATGGGACAGAATTATCTCTGCTGGCCTTCATGAAAACTTTAACGGTTTTAGGATCATAGCATTAAAGCGCCACATTTCTGCTGAATGTTTAAAGTGAGACAGTGCAAAACTAAAGTGTTTGTGTTGTTGTCTACAGTGGACCTGGTACAGACTGCAGACTTTGATCAGCACTAGCTTATCTTCCTGTTGGAAAGATCGCACAATAAATAACAAAATGCAGCAACTTCATCATTAACTCAAACAAACCCTCAGTAACGTTCAGTTGTTGTATATAGAAAATACAAATGTTCATGCTTGACCTTGGAAACAGTCTCACAATGAGGTCCATCTAGCAGATGTTCTGGAGCTTTCCATCAAGTTCTCACATTGACATAGAACATTAAGGGAACGTTTAATCTCAACTTTTACAATAACAGACAGGACAAGTGCTCATAAAAATAGAAATGTGAACATTTACAGTTTTAACTAAGCAAACTTCATTTGAAGATCATGACTACGACTGAAAGCACCAGAGCAGCTACTAAATGAACCTTAAAGTAAAACTGTTTTACACAAAAAGGTAAGTAAACATATGTAAGAAGTACCTTTAACTCAAAGTCACCATCTTTTTCTGGAGCTTTCATTAGCATCTCATGGTCTTCATTAGTGTCACTACAATCTGGAATAAAGCACCATGAGATGGAGTCGAAAGCTCTAGAAGAAGCCTATTTGTGGACTCTGAGACTGGATTTACTTACTTTTGAGGTCGAGACTAAACGTCGCGCACGTTACATAGTTTTGTTTTTCACTGATTAACATTTACCGTGACTACGACAGAGTATTAGGCCACTAAAGAAATATTGTCAAAAACAAAGTTGTAGTATCATGTGAACAATGCTGCTATTATTTAGAGAATAAAATGTTTTAAATGTACAAAAAGTTTAGAGGACCAAGTTGTGCAAGTACGAGAATAGTCTAAATATTTCTACAATCTGCTGTTTAGAGAAAACAGACATAATAGTTTGGGAATGTAATTTGGAATTCTTAGAGTTTAAAGTCACAATATTTCAATAATAAATCTGTTTTTATATATTTAGAGAATTTTAAGTACTAGTAATTTCAGAAAACAGTATTTAGTCATAAACTATTCTGAGAATAAATCTGAGTATAAAGTCAGAAAAGTCGTATTTTTTAGAATAAAATATCAGAAATAAAAAGTAGAAATGTAATTTTTCAAAGATAAAGTCATGCTATTATGAGAACAAAGTCAAAATACTTTGAGAATAGAGTTGTAATATTTAGAGAATAAAGTTCTAGTATCTTGAGAAACAGTAGCATTTAGAGGAAAGTGCTGTAATATACTGAGAATGGAGCAGCAATATTTTAAGAATAAAGTCAGAGCACGTGTTGACTAGTCTGTGTAGTAAAGCTTTAACACAGTGACCTGAAGCACCAGGTCTCAGGTGTCACCTATGTAAACGTGAAACCAGGTACATGATGTACGAGTCAATGCCCGAACACATTTTACCTTTTACTCCACAGCTTCATCCTCAAAATACTACTTTCTTTTTAATATTACAACATTTCTCAATATATTATGACATTTCCTTTTTTTTACTCCTAAAACCTAAGATGAGTTTCCCCCAGTGGCCTGAATATTGTCTGTGCAACATTCCAACAGTAAAACATCAGCGAAGGGTTTGACGGGGCAGTGTCGCTCTGTGGCAGGTCTACAGCCGTGCAAACTGAGGAATGGAACATTGGACAGGTGCTTCACTCTGTTGCATCACATTTTGGCTAATTAACAAATAACGCTCCAAAATCGCTTTGGCCAATTTTAGAAACTTAAACGTAAAACTCGTTAAAACAACAGGTGCGGAGGACCCCTTTCCTTTTGTTATAAACATCGATATTGCACCAAAGCAGCATATTTGGACGAGAAGAGGGCTCCGGGGACGTCAGTGGGGACGGAGGAAACCAGTGATATGCATAAATACAGTATAAAAATACATTATGGGGAAATCTGCAGGGACTTCAGTCAGGCATGAGAGCAGGAGGGAGAGAAAAGGGAAGGAGACAGTCTGTGGCGCCTCTAGAAGGTCTGGTCATCGTTGCAGGACTCGGTGGTGTGTCCAAAGGCCTCGCAGATGTCGCAGTAGGGCCTCTCGTCGGCCGGGTTGCCGTGGTAGGTGGTGTGGGGTATAGAGTCGGGGCTCTGGGCCTGAGTGGGGCAGTCCTCTGTGTCGTGGAGGTCAAAGCAGTCACAGATGTCGCAGAACAGACGGGGGGTTGCCTTCTTTTCCCGCTTTAACACACCTTCATCGAACCTACACCAGAGAGGAGACAACGTGTGTTACACAGTGAGTGTCGCCAAACCTTGGAAAGTGAAAGACAACCTACACCAGAGAGGAGACAACGTGTTACACAGTGAGTGCCACCAAACCTTGGAAAGTGAAAGATCAGGCCACAAGAGCAAAGGGGCATCCCTAAAATACCGAGAGCGGAAACGGCACAGACCGTGTCTACCATTAAGACAGGATGAGAGCCACTGACGTCTGAGTCCAGAAACCAACTGTAGAACATCATTCACAATAATACCAAACAAAACAGCTGCACATCTGTTACTTCCTCCTGTATCGTCCTCACCCGTCAGTCTCGTCCTTGCCATTAAACTCAGCCAGAGCAAGCTTCTTCAGTTTGATCTTCAGCTCCTCGTTCTTCCGCTGCAGGTCCACTATCACACTGTTCAGGAAGTTAATCTGGTGGAAACAAGTCAGACACAGAACACGTCCGTGTGGGCACAGGTAGGAAGTGGGAACCCTGAGCATGACCTGAAGCTTCCCGACGGTCTCACCTGCCCCTCAGCGAACTCCTTCTCTTCCCTCAGCTGCTCCAGAGCTGCACCGCCTGCACAAACATGCTGGAAATCAAAAACCATGTCCACAAACATGCATTTCATCTTTTTCATCTAATTCACAAAGACTGACGAGGAGTATGTTCTCACCTGACGGTGCTGCCTCCCTGTCTTCTCCTTCTGAGGCCTGTGTTCCCATGAGCCTTTGCTCTAGACCGTGAACACGCCTCTGCAGCTGAGCTTTGTCTCTCTCCAGTGTCTCCACAGCTGACTGCAGGGTCTTGGCTACAGCGTTTTCTCCTCGAAGCACCGCAATCTGCAGCGATGGACAGATAAATCTCTCAGATTATACAGAACCAAAGGACACTTTGCTAGAAATGATCAGAGTGAAAACTGTGTTTGAGCACCTCATTCCTCAGAGTTTCCAGCTCCCGATCTTTGTCTGAGATTACGACTCCAGTGGATTTCTGGAAGTTTACTTCCCCTTCTGTTTCCCTGCAGACAGATGTGGAGGGTTAGAGAGTGCACTGTACACTGCCTGCTCTGGGAATCCACCAAACTCAGAATGAGCTTTGACATAAACCCAAAGACCTGAGGCAGACATGAGCGAGGACACACGAGGCCGTCCGACTGTAGCACATACCGCATCCTATCTGAAACTGTCCACTGGTCTGTCAGGAGTGAACCTTGTTGTTATTCAGACACAGAAAACTTCTAAAACACCACGTTATCTACGTAGGGCTGCGACCTCATAGTCGGCCCCTTTTTGGATCTGGTTCCTTGTTTGTAATAATTAAAAACGCAACAATGTCAAAATTTTAGTTTATAACTAAATAAAAATGTGTTTTTTGTTTTTTTATGGCTGTTAGAACATCATGACAAGAAATAAAGAGAAGAGTAGATTTCCTAGTTTCCTACCTGCTCTTTATGTCTGGCTGCTGCCTGTCACGGTCCTCGTTGTGCTGAGAGGCAAACACAAATACAGAGACATGTAAATAAACCCATCTGAGCTTTAAGAGTTCAGTCACAGCAGGAAGTCGACCCTCACTGTGCCAAACCCTCTTAATGACATCACCGTTTCCCTGATCTATACCAGGATGAAGGACATGTTTTACATATCTGAACCTGGGAGAGGTCAGTACCTGGTCAGGATGCTGAGACTTCTGGGAGGCCAACTTCAGCTCCTCACTGACAGGGAACAGAAAGAAAGGAGACGTGACTCACTTTAGGTACTGCACTACATGCACATCGGTGTCACAGTCAGCACCGTGAGCCTAAATCTGGTGTGGAGCTGGATACTACCCGTCTTCACACAAACATCAGTATAAACACACCCTGACATCCACCCACAGACACCTGGTGTAGTTTCACCTGCTTTGAGTTTGTGTAGTTTAAACCAATTATATTCTGGAAACCGTACTTCAACGGCAAAACTAAAATAAAATAAAATACAGGGATCCGTTCACATTCTGAGCAGTGTCACGGTTTTTTTAGTTCTGGTTTTGGTCTCCACCACCTCCTGGGGGAAACCTCTGGCTCTGGAGCTGCTAAACGCTCTGCTGTGTTCCCCAGCTGGTCTCAGACTGGCTCTGTCTGCTGGTTGCTGGTGAGCAGGTCGTGGGCAGCGGCTTCATCAGAGATGCTTCAGTAAAAACAGCAGCCTGTTTGGGCTGAACGTGGCGCTGAAAGACCAGTGAGAGTGAACCTAAACCATCAAGCTGTGGTTCGGACACTAACCAACGAGCCCAACTCACTATAAAGCTTCATAAAGCTTCGGAACACAGTGGCTTGGTTGCTGTAATGAACCACTCTCATATTATATTTAGTCATCGGATCTATTGCTAACAGAAACATTTTGATAGAGCAGCTTTAAAGCGACTCAAGCTGATCCAAAGATGTGCTCGTGCATTATTTTCTCATTTACATTTAGTCAACTGCTTCATTTAACAGCAGCCAAATGCCAGTTAAAGGCAGTTTGAATGATGAGCATCCTGAGCTGATCCAACCGTAGCAATAAACGTGATATGGCGGACTGCACTCGTAATGATATTATCTACTAATTCTCATCTTTCAGAAAGCCATCTGTCTCTACACCCTCCTGCCTTAAAAGGATTTGACAGCTGTGAAAGGCCGGATGCTCGTCAGTGTGCGCACATCCATGGAAAATGCCGTCAGGATGTTCTAAACCCGGTACTGTATCTGTGACTGCAATCAAACTCAGACCTGCAGACTGTAGCAGGGAATTTATGAATCTGGACGGTTCTAGAAGCAGATGATTAGCTGGAGAAACTGGGTTTAGCTTCACGTGGGGAATTCTTGGATTTGTATCAGAGGAAGAACTGGAGCTCAGTGTGACTAACAGGCTGGTCCGAGCACCATCTGGGTGAAATATTTAGCTGCCTGCTGTATAATTACATTCACCCTGCACTCGCACACAGCAGGAGGGAGGCCGAGTTAAAGGAAAACGGCACTGGACACAGTTTCCACTTCTGTATTACAAAGACTGTAAATGGATGTCACCGTTCTCCCAGACAGAGCGAACCAACTGGGCCTCGGCTTCTTCTGTTCATCTGTGAAATTTAACTTTACTTTACTGCATAAACAGAAGTGAAGGTTCAGTTCTGCGCCTGTGTTAGAAGACATACAATCAGTTTCAAAGCAGCATTGATGCTTTTTTAAGCACTTTGGGGGCAGAAAAAGATCAAATTCACATTTGGCAACATGTTGAATCAATATTGTCTGTTTACACGTCTAGCAGCTACAAAGCAGCATCAACACATTCTAAGCTGTGTTTCTGGTTTGGTTCATCTCTGTCCTTCAGGGTTTGGTGACTGGGCCAAAGAAAATAAAGAATCTCCAACCATTCGCTTTAAATGTGAACATACAATCCACAAATCCAAAGCTACTGGTTCTCCACAGAAAATCGAAGGTGTTACTGGAAGTCACAGACAAACCAGTCATCAGTCATCACAAACACACACACCAGTGAGGACAAATACACAATGACAAATAGCTGTGGCACCGGTAGTTCTTCTCGAAGATGTTACAAAAGCCGCATTGATGTCAACAAACACTCAAAGTCTCTCTCTCTCACACATACACACACACACACACACACAGTCTGATGTCATGGGGAGAGCAGTGGCCATGTTGGAGCCAGTCCGTCTTAGGAGGAGGGACAGAGCGATTATGTAACAGCAGCTGGAGGAAAGACACATTGTTGGGACAAGACAGGATGGAAGCCGAGGTGGAGAAGTGTGGTGGTGCAGTGAGGGAGGTGTACTGTGGGGTCAACAGTTCCTCCTGCAGCAGGACACACACACACTGTGTGTTGATAAATCTGCAGCCACAGTCACGAGAGGCTGTTCACCTTTATCAAATTATGTGCAAATGGCAGCACTGCTACAGAGGGAGCTCATGCAGCACTGCACACATTGGACCCAGTATTCTGCTGGGAGACGTCGGATTACAGCGGCTCAGCGTCCTGTGTGTTACTGTGTCCTGTGTGCAAAGGTGGCTTCTTATGTTTTATTCAGGGAGCACAAATGCTGTTTGTCACGTTTTACAATAAGATGTGAAAAAGGACAAAAAGAAAACCTAAACAGACTGGACAGATGAACAGCTTCATCAAGGTTTACGTCTATCATCACACCAGAAGTGAGGGGCTATGTGGCCGGACCGTGTCGCTCTGCAGCAGTAATGCAAGTGAATTCTTAATCACTCCACTGTCTGATGTGTATTCCTGTACGCCTAAGACCAACCTACGGGAGTCGTTTTCTCTCCTTCCAGTGTGTCATCTGTAATGGCAGCGTGTCGTCTTGGTGGAGAGAGGTCACATGGTTCAGGCCTGGGGGAGGTACCAAGAGACTGCTCGCCTTCTTCCTGGATCACATTCTTCATAGATTGTTCCCTGATTTTGTCCATACTTTAAATCTACATCCGTCCTATTGCTCGTCCTGAGGTTTCTTCCATTTTTTTCTAGTTAAAAATTGTTTTGTGAAGTTTGTTCTGATCTGAATGGAGGCCTGAGGACAGAGGGCGTCGTGTGCTGTGGAAATCTGTGACACACGACATAGCGCTACTTAAATAACTGACTTGAGTTGAATTTGGCAGCACAGAAAAGCTCCTTAAGGCGGATTAAGTGACTTTTGTTTCACTGCAACATTTGTTGGCGTTAGCATCTCCGTCTGCTGCTCCGCCCACAGGATGCTTCACTTTGGTGGCTGCAGTTTAGCCAATCGCATCCATCTGGAGCTCAGACTTCACAACTCAGGCTCTGATGAATCGAGGAGGTGTGGCAGGACACGTGCAAACACACCACATGCTTCCACACACACACACGGTCTATAAATAGATATTAGGTTGGAGATCCACGACAAATCGAGGTAAAAACATTCAGTTCAAAGAGGGAATGTTATCAACAACATCATGTTCAGCTGCCTGATCAGACAATCAATTATTCATTGTGCAACATGAAACCAGTTCACAGATGCCCTGCTATTCTTTCTCTTACTTGGATTTGGGGGATGATGGTGCGTTGACTACAGTTCCCATGACTTGGAGGCTGAGCTTGCCACAGAGTCAGTTACAGTAGCTGTGTGATACAATTTGGTGCGTTTTAACCTGCATTTCGGTAAAGTCTGGAAAAACTGTCCCCCATAAAAGCAGCAGAATGAGCAGCGATCAGCCCGTTTCCAGTGAACTCATGGACACACATGGATCACTGGGTTACTGAGACACTGCAGACAAGTTAAAAACAGGAGGGTTCTGCAGGCATAAGTGTTAATGTTTTCTATGTACTCTGAACAGATTTATAGACATTTTCTCACAACGTGCATCAAAGAAAATGTTAACAACTATAAGTCACACTGAATCTAAATGCACGTTTCATTTTTAGTCATCAGTGAAGATGCCCCCAGAAAAAATTAACACACCAGTCTAATGAACTGGCCAGCTGAGGAAAACACACGTGAGATGTCTGTGAGTACTCACATTTCCTTGCAGAGGACGCCGATGCGCTGGTTTTCTGAGCTGCTGCGCTCCTTCGACAGACTGAGCTCCTCCTGGTATTTGGAGTTCTGCTGTTTCAGCGCCTCGAGCTGGAGCAGGTGAAAGAGGAAACACCATGTGACCTCTTTTGCTTATCTTAATATTATATTCACAGCTAAAACCTCGTTGCTCTGAAGCCTCATGTAGACTGGATATAGTCAGTCTCACCTGGAGAGTGCACGGGGGCCATTACCCAGCCCACCACAGTAATAACTACAGCCACGATTACCTGCTGCTCTTCATTGAACTCCTCAGTCCTTTCTTGTATGTTAAAGTGGTCTCTGCAGGAGGAGCTGCTCCTTTATTTTCAAAAACATGCCAACACCAACATAAAGAGCTGCTTGGGAACCAATGTGGTTGTATCAGCTACACGTTGGGATTTGTTTCCAGTGTCCCCACTGAAAGTATTTAACTCTGTGGATGATGGCATCCTGCTTTTGGCCATCTTTCTTAAATCGTTCACTCACAGATCCTCCAGCTTTATGGAAACGTGACAGTAAACTAAAGTGCAGTACACTGTGGCACATCGTCATCTGCAGGGTGTTCACTGAAGGAAACAAGTGATATAAATGTAGAAAAACAGAAACATCCTCCACAGGTGAATCAATGCCTCTGTGATCCAGTCTGAACAGAACCTGAACATCACCACCTTCAGGGAGGAGGATTTACTACAGGACCGTCGGAGCAGACCGACTCAGTTTGACACAGGTGTTCCTAATAAACTGACCACTGAGTGTATGACATGTAGAGTGCCTGTAATTCTCTTTCTATAAATCCCATGGGTGCCAATAAAAAACAAACAAGCAATACATAGCTTCCCATAACTCATTTAATATCTTTAGCTACAAGAAGAAGCTGCTTGACAAGAAGAACAGTTTACACTTAAAAACAAAACGCCTCGACGTTCGTGAGGAGTCAGCGACCGCAGGTTTAATCCACGGGAAACTAAAGATAAATGCCTCAGAGACTTCAGTTCAAGTCTAATCCAAAATCATCCTCCGGCACTTTAAGGTGCTTCAGAGACATGTGCAGCTCTGAGGTGGGAGCAGCATTAAAACATGATTAGTCAATAATTAATTGACAAGTCAAATCAAATCAGTGTTTCTGCTGCAACTGGCATCAGATTAAAAAACCCAGTGATTCACACTGTAAGTCCTCTGTAATGTTTCTGTTAACACATTGTCGAGTGTTACATCAGCTGTGCTTGGGACGCTGTTCAGCAGAGTTTCTGACTGCTTAACACCTCACTACGTCTCTGCACCTCTGACGTAAGAGCCAGCCCACAGAGCATGCTAAGATACACAGGCATGAACCAGATACCACTGGGTATATGGTGCATGCTAAAATGCACGCACAGACATACACAAACATGCACAAAAAGGCAGGATGTACACAGGTCAGAATCACAGGCTACATACATCAACATGGTTTAAGGGAGCTAAGAGGAGCAAGACGAGAGCTTCTGATGGATTCACTGCCCCTGCAATGCTCCGGTACTGGCCGACACCTCGGTCAGAGTCCCCTGCTACCAGCAGACAGTCCTACCTGGTAGTGAGGCGAGTAGAGGTTACTGGAGTAACCCTGATGCAGAGCAGCTATGTCCATTCCAGCGGCCGTTCACCTGCTAAGCGCAGCAGCCTCCACTCTGTCTGCAGAACAACATGCACAGGCTGACACACGCTGGGCATCAATAACCCATCAGCTGTGATCCCCCGCCGTGCTCGACAGCCAGAGGGAAATGGAGAGCATGTCAGCTGAGCAGCCTCCCCCCCACAGCCCAGCACTTCCATTATATAAGGCTGAATACGCTCCTCCCCAGCCCCCCTCCCCCACCTCTCTGCTGTTCACAGTCTTGTTTCCTCACTCCAACACCTTATGCACACACACGCTTCAAGAAGCTGCTCTTTTCATTCATGGAGAATCTCACACTGCACAATCAGCTGCATGTCACCTGGACAACACAGGAGGTCCAATGGGAACAACCTGCCGCTCATACACCGTGGGAGAGATGGCCCTGACATCACAACTACATGTCCACCTAAACCCGACTCTAACCTGAACCCTAAAACCAGACAGCATGTCCTCACTTCCATGGTGTAACGTTCACACTGGTCCTCACACTGGTCCTCACACTGGTCCTCACACTGCCGGCCACACACAGACACGTGCAGGATTACATCACAGCCCACAACGTGGCCGAGCGTCCAGGCAGATGTAGAGCGTCCCTGCTGACCAACTGCTCCACAGCCTGTTGGTGTGTGAGAAACTCTTGCTCTTACTGATGTAGCTGAAGAAACATTTTTCAGTTTGGATGACGGCCACGTGACTCTGACCTCTTCAGTGTCCTTCATGCACATGCATTTATAATATACAGTTGTGTTTCCACCTGTGAACACTACGTTCTCCTGTGTCAGGGACACAGTTCTACATTTTTAACAAACCAAACAGCTGAAACTCAGCTGTCAATTCACCCGGTCATGATGACTAACTGTGAAGAGACCTCCTCCTCCTCCTCCTCGACTCGTCTCCAACAAATAGATTCTGACTTCAAACAGCTGCAGTAGCGATGCACGGTGCATAAAGAATCTGAATAGAAACACTAGCAAACGTCTCTCGCTGCCCTGAGACTGAATAAAGAGACAGCTGGGTCAGAGGAGATGAAATGCTCTACTGGTGAGAAGGAGGGTGCCAGAGAGCTGCAGACTGGGCGAGCAGCTGGAGGAGTGGCACGGAAGGCAGTGACAGTGGGAGAGACAGGTGTCATGATTCTGCCCCGTCAGCTTCCTGTCCTGTGCTTTTATTTTGTATCCACTTCCTTTTCAGTCGCATCTCAGTTAGGGACTCTTTAGTTTAATCTGTGTTCATAGGTTTCACCTGCTTCTGATGAAATGCTGTTGCTATATGCACACAGGTGTGTCCAACAGCTTACAGGCAGCATTTCCTCACTACAACGCTGCCAGATTGTTCTAGACTCTGACTCTCCAGCATTAATTCTTGTCTGACTTTCTAGTTTCTGACCCTGGATTTCTGTTTTTGACCACCTTGCCCTTCTAACTTGGACTGCTTCTCTGACTTTTTTGTTCGTTGTCAGTGCTCTCATTAAAGAGACGGTGTTTCTTTACTTATCCTCGTCTGGCTATTTAATTGAGTTCACCCACGACATTATCGGCAGCTTCATGCTCCATCCTGACAACAGGCTGCTAAACAGACTGTTAAAGAAGAAGATTTGCACGTCACATGCGGTCAGTGTGGGACCCTGGTGCGAATACGCAACAGAAACCTGAAGGCTGCAGATGCTAAACTTGCATGTGCATGTCCTGTTACACGGCTGAGGAGACACAAAGTAAAACGTGTGAACTTCAGACGTTCTACACGTTGAAACAGTGCGACTCTGCCTTTTAAACCGTTTGGACTGTTGCGTCTCTTTGTGAGTCCTGCCAGAAACATGCAATGCTGACATCTCCCTGGAAAATCTGCAGGATTCACCTAAAGGTTGAATAAACAAAAATGATTTTGCAAATGTCTTTTCATGCAGTTCCTTCTTCTGATTTAGAAAAACGTCCATGAGCCACAGCTAACAGAGGAAGACTGGCCACGTGCACAGATTCATTAGACCCACATGGGACTAGCCTGAGGTGGCAGTCAGCTCCAGAGTGGGAGAGCTGAATGAAAGGTCAACACAAAGGTCACAAAACTCTTCCATTTCCTTTCCAGAGTGTCACCAACCATTTGTTCTGCTCTGCAGACAGAAGCAGCAGCGGTGCAAGATGTACAGCAATGTAAAAATACTCCAAGTCCTGCATTCAAAATCCTACTTAGGTAAAATTACACAAGTATTATCAGCAAACTGTACTTCATGTATCAAAGTACTGGTGCAGGAAAAAGGCCCCAGTGACTGATGTGACATCATGACTACTGACGCACCAGTGCTCGTAGCTGCTCCAGGGGGCGCTGGTTTTAACTACTTTATATACAGTTAAGTTTAGTCCAGGGGGCTCCCAACATAGGGGTTGGGGCCCTCAAAGGGTCACCATACTAATCTGAAGGGTTATGAGATGGTTAATGTGAGAGGAGAGAAAAGTTCTCTAATGGGAGTCGTCTTGTGACACGGATAATGACTGAAACACGACACGGGGACACAGCTGGATGCGCATTTCTTGTAAGGTGCCGCCAGCCAGAAAGGGTGATGGCTGCTGGTTTAATCTTTATTTAAAACCTTAATCAAAGAAGTAACAGCCGTGAAGTAAACTACCTCAGAGCTCAAAGTGCAACTTAGCCACCCACCGACTTACACGTGCAGACCTACCTGTGTCAGCTGGGCCCTCAGCTCGCTCTCCCTGCTCCGGCTCTGCTCCTTCAGGCTCTGGTGGTCTTTCTTTGACTGCTCCACATCCTGCTCCAGCTCTGAGAGAAGACAACACCCATCACTCACTTTCTACTGTGCACAGAGCCGGTGCAGACGCCTCTGATATGTTTACCTTGCATGGTCTGTGCTGTCCTCCTGCTCTCCTCCTCAGCTGTGTCCAGCTTTTGTCTCTGAAATGGAGAAGCATCAGCTAATCACTCACATAGTAACATTCCTGTGCTTTGAGCTAAGCAGGAAATGACTGGGTCCAGAAAACATGTGAGGTTAGTGGATACAGTAACTCTCCTTATGAGGCCTCTTTCTAAATGCCCACTAGCAAAACACCTCACACAACACAATGAGGCAAATTACAGCCCCTCACAGACCTGCACTTCATTATGGGAATGTGCTGGCAATTTTACAGGTTCAACTCGTGTGTGAATGCGCCTTAGATTTAAGACGCTAGTTACAGATTCTACGATACGAACACCGGGACAAACAGAACCGTTCATGTCACGGCATAATATGGTTATGTGTGTTCTGAATGGATCACCCGGTGGCGAGGAAGACGACGGTGTGTTTGACTGATGAAACAAATCAATCAGTGCACACTGAAGCATTTTCTCTACAAGATGCACAGAGGACCCCTCTTCACATTCAGCTTTAGCCTCAGTCCGTTAGTGCAACATCACGCACGTTCAGATAAGCCCCATAAAGAGCAGCAGAGGAAGGACCCCTGTTCCAACACGTCATGTGTACAGAATAAGTCACATGACAGATTCAGAGAACATCCATCCATCCACTTTCCTCCTCATATCCAGGACCGGGTCACGGGGGCAGCAGTCTAAGCAAAGATGCCCAGACCTCCCTCTCTCTAGACACTTCCTCCAGCTCCTCCGGGGGAATGCCAAGGCGTTCCCAGGCCAGCCGAGAGACATAGTCCCTCCAGCATGTCCTG